CAACATGGGCCAATGGTGAGCTTAAAAGAATGTCCCTACAGAAGTCATATCTCAATCTGATAATGAAAATTGACTAATTAGGAAATATTGGACATTCTACATGAGTGAAACATAGCAATCTACATAGCGTGTCCTGAAACACTGCATGAAAAACTGGGTCCTAATTATTCTATCTGAAGTTGGATTAAACTATAGCCCTCGTGACTCCTTTGATCTGTCTCCCAGGAATTCAAATTATGAATAGAAACCTGAATATACATGTTAGGTTTTGCAGAAGTGGATCCTATGATGTTCTGCTGGAGCGTTAGTCTGTCAGGAGAGTGTTGACAGAGGTAATGATTGCTAGCTGCAGGGCCCAGAAAAATCCTACTTTAACAGGAAGTAATTGTAGAAAGTATTGGAAATCTCTAGCATTCTACAGCACACTCTACCTATAAGCAAATTTTGCTTTATCAAAGATCCCTTAGATGGGTTTAATTTTTCTAAAATTTAAGAGAATAAAAGGATCTGAAGAAACCACTTGTAAGATTTCCCTTTACTTTCATTCAAGCACAGATAATAATAGCTAATGGATGATATAGAAGACTTTGAAGTCAGTGATAAACTCTTTTATTGGGGGGCGGTGAGGGGAAATGTTGCCAGAGTATTAGTTCCTATACTATAAAAAAAAAAAACCCATTTATTCTTTTCATTCACAAGAGTAACTGCATAGAGGGGTGCCTAGGTGACTCAGTCAGTTGAGCCTCCGACTTCAGCTCAGGTCATGATCTCGTGGCTCATGGGCTCTAGCCCCACATCAGGCTGTGTGCTGACAGCTCAGAGCCTGGAGCCTGGAGCCTGCTTTGTGGATTCTGTCTTCCTCTCTGTCTCTGCCCCTCCCCCAGCTCATACTTTGTCTCTCTGTGTGTGTCTCTCTCTCTCAAAAATAAATAAAACATTAAGAAAAAGTTTAAAAGAGTAACTGCAGTAGCTTGGTATAAGTAGATAAAATTATGAATGTTTTTCGAAATAAAAATTGACTTTCTTATTTTTAAAATGCCGCTTACCATTCTCTAAAGATTTTATACTGTTTTGCAAAAAGAGGTTCCCAAAGGGAAGTTTGCATTGCAAAACAGTCTGGATAAACCAGGAATCTGAATAGTAAGGCCTGAGCAACTGTTGTTACAGCACTTGAACTCCCTTGCTAAGGGGAGTTGCCTCATAGTTGGATAACTGGTGCTTCTGTCTTGGGGTAACTTCCTGGCACAACTGAGTGCTTCCTTTTTGGACACAGCTGCTCTATTGTAATACTACCAATGTTACAAAAGAAAAGTAAAGCCTAAAATGGCGATCCAGAAGCAATGTTACATCAGTTTAAAATTTTAATCTCTGAGTAAGTGAGCTTACATACAAGTAGACCACGCCATGCAAATTACATTGAATATTGTGGTTATTTCAGCAGGAATTGATTAGTATCTTGGGGTCATCTGTACTGTATGTCTGATTATCCATTTCATATAAGACACGTGGTATCATTATTTTTTTATACATTTTAAAAATTATTTTATAGACAGAGTGTGAGTGGGGGGAAAGGGGCAGAGGGAGAAAGAGACTTAAGCAGGTTCCACACTCAGCATGGAGCCCAACTTGGGGCTTGATCCCATGACCTGAACAAAAATCAAGCGTCAGATGCTCAACTGAGCCACCAGATGCCTCGAGATATGTAATGTTATGATTCAGATTGTACTTTAAGTAATGTAGATAATAATTCCTCATACAGTGCTTTATTTTAATTGTGGTAACATTTTTTTTAAGTTTATTTATTTAGAGAGGAAAAAAGTGTGAGTGGGGGAGGGGCAGGGAGAGAGGGAGAGAGTATCACAAATAGGCTCTGCATTATCAGCACAGAGCCCGATTTGGCGCCCGATCTCATGATTGTGAAATCAGGACCTGAGCCAAAATCAAGAGCTGGATAATTAACCAGCTGAGCCACCCAGACACCCCTAATTGTGGTAACATTTTTAAGTATTCTGTAGCATTCTAAAAAAAAGGTTTATTTTTGAGAGAGAGAGGCAGAGTGCGAGCAGGGGAGAGGCAGAGCGAGAGGGAGACACAGAATTCGAAGCAGGCTCCAGGCTCTGAGTTGTCAGCACAGAGCCCTCCTTAGGGCTGGAACTCACAGACAATGAGATTATGACCTGAGCAGAAGTTGGACACTCAACTGAGTGTTCACTCAGTTAAAAAAAAATTTCAAATATCTGTTTGAGTCCCTGCTTTCTTTTGGGTATTACACCCAGAAGAAGTAGAATTGCGGGATGATATGGTAATTCTTTTTTTTTTTTAATGTTTTATTTATTTTTGAGAGACAGATAGAGACAGCATGAGGAGGGGAGGGTCAGAGAGAGAGGGAGACACAGAATCTGAAGACAGGCTCCAAGCTCTGAGCTGTCAGCACAGAGCCCGATGCAAGGCTCGAACCTACGAATGGTGAGACCATGACCTGAGCCGAAGTCGGATGCTTAACCGACTGAGCCACCCAGGCACTCCGTTAATTCTATTTTTAACTTTAAAAACGAATATATTTATTTTTGGGAGAGTTCAAGCAGGGGAGGAGCAGAGAGAGGGGACAAAGGATCTGAAGAGGGCTCTGCACTGACAGGTTGACTGCAGTGAGCCTGATGTGGGGCTCCAACTCACAAACTATGACATATGACCTGAGCTAAAGTCCGTTGAGCCACCCAGGTGCCCCAACCATTTTTAACTCTTTTTCCTTTAAAAAAGGAAATCAATCCTTTATCAGAGATACGATTTTACATACTGTTATAAGGAGTAGTGAAGTCCACAATGATAGCTAAGTAGCAGATGGGATGAACACAGCTTTGTGCAAGTGCATGAAACATACCGATAAGCAGGTCTCACAGGGGAAAGGATAAGTAGTCCAGAAATCTCCCACAAATGCCAAAGTGAAAGGGTTTGATCTTTCAGTCTTACGCAGAGTTCTCAGTGTTTTATCCTCCTTGGTGTGTGGGTGTGGCGTTACCTGAAGTTTCTCCCTCATTTTCTTAACTCCAAAGCCCCGCCCCGGACAGATCAATGATTTGCTTTAGGGCAGTGTTTCTCAAACTTTCCTCACTGAATAATTTTTACCACATTCACATAATATGTAACTTTTTTTCTAACGCTTTTTTTAAAAATCAACCCAACTATTTATTTATATGTATTTTTAAGGTAGGTTTCATACCCTGTGTGGAGACCAACCCAGGCTTGAACTCATGACCCTGAGATCAAGACCTGAGCTGAGATCAAGAGCCAGATGCTTAACTGACTGAGCCACCTAGAGTGCCTAAGTCAACTCAGTTGTTTGTTTGTTTTTTTTAATTTTTTTTCTAATAGTTTATTGTCAAATTAGTTTCCACATAACACTCAGTGTTCATCCCCACAAGTGCCCTCCTCCATGCCCATCCCCCCTCCCCCCCACATCCATCAGTCCTCAGTTTTTGTCAGCATTCAAGAGTCTCTCATGGTTTGCCTCTCTCCCTTTCCCCCACCATTTCCCCCCTTCTTCTCCCCCTTGTTACTCCATCAAGTTCCTCCTAATCCTCCTATACGTGCAAACATATGGTATTTGTCCTTCTCTGCCCTAAGTCAACTCAGTTTTAAGAATTGAATTTATCTTAAAAGAAAACTTTAAAATCAATATTGTAAATGGAAAACCAGAATCAAGTATCCTTCCAGCTACAGCAAATTATAAATATCAGTTACTCCTTTGTCATTCAGGATATCCCTTGATGGTGGCCCTAGATAAGCGTGCCTTCTCCCTAACAGCGGGCCCAATTACACCTGCCAGGATTTTGGGTGGGACTATTTATTGAGTAGAAGGTGCCATTCAGTGGACATTCTGTACTTGTGCCCAGGTTTGTGCCCAGGGAGTGGAAATAGTCTGATGGTGGCATAGTACCATCAGAAATGGTTTTTTTTTTCTTTCTTTCTTCTTCTTCTTTTTTTTTTTTTGAGAGAGAGAGAGAGGGCATAAGTGAGCAAGGGGCAGAGAGAGAGAGACAGAGGGAGAGAGGTGAAGCTGGACATTTTTGGTATGTTTATCAGCCATTCATATTTCTTTTTTAGACTCATTCATCAGTATACTTTATCTCCCTTTTTGTAGAATGTCTTTTTACTCTTTTATGATCTCTTTGTACACTATACATATTTTCTCAATTCTTAAATTTATTGCAATTATTTTCTCCAAATCAATAACAAAAGTTATTTTGTAAGTTACAAAAGTTATTTCGTAACTTTATTTGTGGTGCATTTTCATCGGGAAGAATTCTTAAATTTGCCTGTCAAATCTATCAGTCTTTTACTTCATGGCTTCTGGTTTTCATATCTTGTTATGCCTAGATCAAAACTATTCTACTTTTTTTTTTGTGAGAAGTGTTAACATTCTTTATTTAATTTTATACATAAACCACACTAAAATGCCTTTCATTAAGCAAAAGGCAACATTTAAATGCAGGGAATTTTAATTAAATTGGCATAGTTAAGACTAAAAAGATAAAGTGGACGTTGCCAGCTTATCTTCAGCCCTTGCCTTTAACAGGCTAACAAACACAACTTGAAACACAGCTGAATCTTGCTGTTCTGATATAGTGAAGGGATTTCCTCAGTATTTAAATATACTAATATAACCAGTTATATAAATCGAAATATAAAACCAATCTCCTATAAGTTTAGAGATGGCATTTACCATCTCTGAAAAGCTTAACATCTAATCAATTCCAATCATATTTTTTGAAGGGGAAAACAGTGACAGCACTTGCTGAACCAGAATTACTATCAAAGTTCAAAAAGCCAATCATATTCATTTAACCACAAGCCAATCTCGTTTAAATCAGAACTGTCCAAAATATTCTATCAGCCATTCATGATCTGAATTCTGGAGTATGAGATCAATTTAAATATGGTACACATAAAAATGTCGTGAGACATTTTTGGTTTGTAATAAATAATGCAACAGCCAACTATTACTCGTTAGAAGCTTTTTTGAGATAAGCTATCAAGTCTGCTCTTTCCTCTGCCTTCTTAACGCCAGCAAAGATCATTTTTGTTCCTGGGAGGTACTTCTTGGGATTCTCCAAATACTCCGTCAGTGTCTCCTCTCCCCAGGTGACGCCTTTGTTCTTGTTGGCATCCGTGTAAGAAAATCCAAGGGCTTGACCCGTCTTTCGCCCAAATAAACCATGGAGATTTGGCCCCGTCTTGTGTTTGCCTCCCTTTTCCGCGGTATGGCACTGGGCACACTTCTGAACAAAAATCTCCTTGCCTTTCTCAACATCGCCCATTTTTAAATCCCTCTTTGGTCACGCCCGAAGCGAAGGAGCCCGCTCACAAGCCGGACGTCCAGCTCTCTCCAAAACTATTCTACATTTTATTTGAGTAGTTTATACTTTAATTTTCAATATTTGGAGATGTAATACACTAAGAATTTATTTTGGAGTATTATGTGAAGAGGGAATCAAATTTTTTGTTCAGAACAAGTAGCCAGTTGTTTCAACATCATTTCTTAAATAGTCTATTAATTTGCTGCTGATTTAGAATGTTTTCTTTTTTTTTTAATGTTTTTTTATTTATTTCTAGGAGAGAGAGAGAGAGAGAGAGACAGCGTGAGCAGGGGAGGGTCAGAGAGAGAGAGGGAATCACAGACTCTGAAACAGGCTCCAGGCTCTGAGCTGGCAGTCAGCACAGAGCCCGACGCGGGGCTCGAACCGCAAGATCATGACCTAAGCGAAAGTCAGACGCTTAACCGACTAAGCCACCCAGGCGCCCCTAGAATGTTTTCTTTTTAATACACTGATTTGTTAGAACCATATGGATCAATTTTGGATTCTCTATTTTGTTCCATATGATATTAGTCTCTTCCAATATCCATAACATACATTTTAAATTACTTTAGCTTTAAATTTTAATGTATGATGTGACGAGCTCCCCTTCATTATTCTTTCCCATAATTTTGAATTTTTCATGAATATTAGAACGAACTTGTCAAATACAACCCTTACTTCCCCAAATTGTGATTGTGATTGAAATTATATTACATTTATATGTTAATTTGGAAGCACTGCCCTCCTTTATAACATTAAGTTATCCTGGGTGCCTGGCTGGCTCACACAATGGAGCATGAAACTCTTGATCTTGGGGGTTGTGACTTCAAGCCCCATGTTGGACTGTAGCTTAATTAAAAAAGAGAGAGAAATTAAGCTATGCCACCCAGGATTTTAAATAGTTTTAAATTTAGTCCAATTGTTTTATGTTCTTCAGCAAATTCTTAAGATGTTCTCAACATAGGTCTTGCTACTTTTTAAAAAACAATATTCTTGGGTATCCGATGAGCTACTCTGTAGAGATCTGTTTGTGATTATCACCCCCAATCAGGATAAAAACTGTAAGGTAGTTTTTCTTGTGAATTTTCGTATGCACCATGTTTTTGTTTTGCCTCATCTTGAAAACTAGAAGTTAGAGTATTCAAAGTTTTGAGGATGAACAAAATGCATCAAGAATTAAAGATGATTTTTTACTGGCTAAGATGGGTAAACTGTTTGTCTGCTAAACTTGTCTGATTCATTAAATTTGTCTCCTCAAGCAAGATAAAGTGTTTGAGTCAAAGTGGATTCTATTTCTTCTCCCCGGGTCTTGGAAAGAAAAAAGGTAGAAGTAAAATCCTTGATTTTGTTTTTTTTAATGTTATATTTATTTCTGAGAGAGAGAGACAGCACGAGCAGGGGAGAGTCAGAGAGAGAGGGAGATACAGAGTCTGAAGCAGGCTCCAGGCTCTGAGCTGGCAGTTCACACAGAGCCCGACACGGGGCTCGAACCCATGAACTGTGAGATCATGACCTGAGCCAAAGTTGGACGCGTAACCCACTGAGCCACCCAGGCACCCTGTAAAATTCTTGATTTTAATGTGTAGAATCTCAAATCATGTGCATCAGAATCACTTGAAGGGATTATTAAAACAATTTGCATTGCAACAAGTTTCCAGGTGATGCTCATGGTGTTAGTCCAATGACTACACTTGAGATTCACTGATGTAGTGAAGAAGTACCGCTGGGAGAGAAAGTCCAGTTGCCTTGCTGAGATAGATGCAAAAGGAAATGGTAGAGAGAGGATTGTAAGTTAGATCTCTTACCACAGTAAGAATTATTATGTTTGGCATTATATTCCCTTAAGTCGATACTTTTTTCCTCTGGGTTTAGGTCTTATTCATATCCTATTTATTTTTGTATGAAATGTTCTGGTTTTCTGGATTTTCAATTTGCATACAATTTGTAATCTCCACTTTGAATTCTGATGTGACCCAAGCATTATGCAGTTGGGTGCTTTAAAAATTAGTCTTTTTGTCTCATTTGTTCACTCGTTCATCAAATATTTATTGAGCATCATCAGAGTCACATGCTTGGGATATATCAGTGAGCAAAAGAGACAAAGATTTCCACCTTATGGAGCTTACATTAGTGGGCAGGAGATAAGCAATACACAAGAAACATAATAAGTAAGTTATACAGCATGACAGAAAGTGATCAATGTTAGAGGTAAAAACAAACAAACAAACAAACAAATGAAAAAACCAACCAACCCAAAACGCATACACACACGCACACACAAATATAGAAAAACAGAACAGAGACACAGGAATCATGGATACAGGTGGAGGGGCTACAATTTTAAATATGCTAATCAAATTAAACCTCAGGGAGAAGGTGAAATTTGAGTAAGAGCTTAAAGAAGGTGAAGGAGTTAGCCAAGTGGATATGTTGCAGAAGAATACACAGTTAAAAGCCTGCACAAAAGCCCTCAAGTAGTAGCGTGTCTAGAGTATCTGAAAAAGCCATGGGAGCAAGCAAGGGTAGAGAACTGGAAATGAGGTCAAACATGCAAAAGGGGCCAATTCATATATGGTTTTTGTAAGCCATTGTTATGACTTTAGATTTCATTTTGAGTGAAATGGGGAGCAATTGAGGAATCCTGAGCAGACGAGTGACACAATATAATTTATGTTTTAAAAGCATCACGGGCTCTTATGTTCAGGATATACTATAGGAAGCAAAAGTAGAACCAGGGAGATCAAGTAACAGGCAACTGAGCAGTAATCCAAAGGAGGGATGATAGCAGTTTGAACCAGAGCGGGGGCAGTGGAGAAATTGAGAAATGATCAGACTCTGGTTCCATTTCACAGAATTTCTTGATAAAATGAAAGTGTGGTGCAAAAGAGGGAAATCAAGGATGACTCTAAAGTTCTTAGTCACAGCAACATGAAGGATGGAGTTAACAACAGTGAAATGAGAATAATAACTGAACAGGTTTAGGGTTGAAGATCAGGAAATTAGTTTCAGATGTTCGCTTGACATCTAAATGGAGAAACTGAGTAGACAGTTAGATATAGGAAATTGGATATCAGGAGAAAAGTGAAGGTAAGATATACATTCAGGAGTTATCAGCAAATGGTTTTGAAAGCTATGAAACTAGAAATGATCACTGAGATTTATAAAAGACCAAACCCTGGGACACTCCAATGTCAAGAGATCAGAAAGAAGCATCATACCAATGAAGGATATACCAGTACTATAGGGAGAAAACAGAATCTGGAATTCTGGAAATCAAGTGAAGAAAATCTATCAAGAAGGAAGGAATGATCTACTGTGTCAAATATTTCTGTTAGGTCAAATAAGATTAGGATTGAAGATCAACCATTGGGATATAGAGGGTATTAGTGACCTTAGCAAGAGTGGTTTTGGTGATTGGGTGAAAGCTTGATTGAAAAAAGTAAAGGTGAGAATTGAAAGGGGGAATAGTATAGACAAGTATAGACTATTATTTCAAGAAGACATGTTATGAAAGAGAGCAAAGAAATGGGACATAACTGTCAAGGGAGGTGGGGTCAAGAATTTTGTACTTTTTTTTTGAAATAGAAGAAATAACATAATGCTTGAATGATAGTGGAGATAATCTAATATGGAGGCAAAAATTTGTTAACAGAGGAGAGAGGAGGGAGAAATGTTGAATCAATTATCATTGAGCAGCTGAGCGGACAGGATCTAACAACCTTAAAGGGCCAGATAGTGACTATTTTAGGCCTTGAGGGCCACACATTCTCTGTTGTATATTCTCCTCCTACCCCAAGCCATATATAAAAATGTAGAAATCATTCTTGGCTCATGGACTATGTGGAAACAAATAGTAAGATTTGGCCCTCAGGCTGTAGTTTGCCAATCCCTGATCTAGTACAGGCAGAAAGGCTAATTTTAGATAAGAGCATGGAGAACATGCATAGCTTTTGTATAGTAATAGGCTGAAAAGCAGAGTACATGAGTTCAGCTGCTGGTACGTAGACACGTATAGTAGCAGAAACTCTTCTGATTGTTTCAATTTTCTCCAGGAAATAGGAAAAGTTATCACTGAGGGTAAGATTGAGGGCAGAAAGTACCGAATATCTGAAGAGAACTGTACAAAATAGTTGTCTATGAAAAGGAGAGCATGGATAAACTTAGAGCCAACTAATTTGATTGCCTGCCAGCATTTTGAGATCACTTGAGGATTGTGTTCATAAATTTAAAGTGAGACCTCTTTACACTTTGATTTTTTTTCTAGTCACGGTCGGCTTGCTGGGAGCAAGAGTGGAATAAACAAACACTGATTAGAGTTACAGTTTTGCCAGGTGAGTACGATGAACCAAGAGAGAATATTAAGGAAATGTCCAAGGGAGTGATCAATAATAGATCATGAAATTTAAAGAGGGGGAAAAAAGGTGAGAGGCAGTGAAACAGTGATAGGATCAATGTATTGGAATTCCCAGTGACTTGGAAGAACTGTTGGGAAGCAGTATCACTGGGTGAGCTGGAAAGAAAGAAGAAGGCGGTCATAGAGGGAGATGCATGAAATTCAGATATTGGTGAGTTTGTAGTTACTGGTAATAAGTAGGGAATGACCAAGGGAGGGGCTTATATACTATCAAAAGGAGAGCTAGTCAAGATGAGAATCAAAGCATTAGAAATATCATTGATATGCATATTAAGATCACCCAGAATGGAGGCACTGGAATTGGAGAGACTGACAAAGATAAATTATCAAGAAATAAAGGTAAATTTGTTGACTTGAGGTTTTATTGTATTGAGATCTTAAGAGTAGATTTTAAGATTTCTACCTTTTGAAGTTCACTAAGGTTTTCTATATAGCCAAATTTGATTAATAGTTGGAAATCCTCCATAGACATAAGACAATATGAATTTCCTACTTGTAAGATACAAAATTATATTCATAATTATTTTTCATTAGTTTTTTTCTCAAT